TCCACCTGATAGTATGAAGATGCTATGACCCACAGACATCTACATCTACCCTCGATTAATAATAAAAATGCGGATACGTTGTTACCCATAATGACTAAGATGAAATGCCTTGTATTCAGTTAAAAAGGGTCTCTGGTTCTCTACACTCAGCATACGAAACACAATAGCATTTAGCTGATATTCTGTGAGAGCGTATTCCTACCCCATTCAAGCGCTCCCCTATGTTATAACCAACAAGTCGCCCTAAAGCACCCAGTTTGAACAACTTTTAGAAAGCCATTCATTCTTTACATCCAATCAAAAGTTTACCGTGTAGTAGCGGTGTAAGAACATCCACTACCCCATATCATACTATGGGTGTCGTGAGAGGTGACAGAAGGTAACAAATCAGGAGATGGGCAGCAGCGTAATCCCAATAACCACTAAAAATATTGTAAATATCCCTCCAATGAGGCAATCTATGGGGGAGGCATATGCTCTGCAGTGGACTTTAATAGGCTGTAACAGTGTTGGTAACGGTAGTTAAAAGTGCAATTAACCATTTAGAGAAATGCCCAGCAAGTATGCTTGTCAATGTTACAACCAACCAAGCAGACACCCTAAAGCATCCAGCTTGGACGACTTTTGAAGAGTCGTTGCGTGAGCCAACTCACCTGTTGCCTCACTGCATTTAACGCTCTCCTGAACTCAAATCCTGAGTGGGACCTATTTGCAAATGAATGGACGGTAATATTGTCTGAATGCCTGAGGTTTTGTCAGCGAGAAGAATGAATATGTTGTCTTTAATTAATTTAATTGGTTTAGCCGTTTAATTATAGTAAAAATAAATAAGTAAATTACATTGAATCGAAAGTGAGATTTACCATTTAAGGAAGAGACAACGACAACACAACAAACGAAGCAGTCTTTTAGGAAGGCATTATTTATTCATTACATGAAATAAAAAGGTCACTGCTGAACATAGGCCTCCCCCAAATCTACCTATTCGGGAGAGATTTTTAAGATTATAAAATATAAAAACAAAACATCTAGGTGAATAACTGTATTAATAAAAAAAAATAGTTGGTAGAGCCATGCTGCTGCTAACTTGAGCGAAACTGTAAGGCGCTAAGCGCCATTCTGTTTAGTATCGGCTACATATATTTTGATTAAAAAGAATAAACAACTTATTAGCCGCACTACTCTGCCGTCATACAGTTTCTAACTAGTATGGGAGGTAGAAGTCTAATTTGTAGTTGTAAAAAATAGCCAATATATTACAAATACCTACACAAATCGTGAGTACGAATTCACGCATATTATTGTAATTGTTGGCTAAGTCTTGTGAATAGAGAATTATTATCATTATTATTATTAAAATACTTTGTTAAGTTCATAATTACATATTTAGATACTCATTACTCTATTAGGTATTTATTGCTAATATAAATAACTTGCAATAAATACCTACCTACCTAAGTAAAAAGTATCTTTGGTATATATCATACATGGTAGAGCCAAGCTGCAGCTATATTTATAATATAGTTGTAGCACAAATGGGTCGGCTCGACCGGGGAAGGACCACGCTCTCACAGAATACCAGCTTAACACGGCTGTGTTTCGTATGGTGAGTGTAGAGAACCGGAGACCCTTTTTACTGGAAAAGAGGCATTCCATCTTAGTCCTCAAGGCTGACAACGCATCTGCATTTTGATTCGCAAACGGGGATGGATGATGGGGATGGAACATCAGGTGGACTGTATGCTCGTTTGTCACCCTATTTTTATAAAAAAATTAAAAAATATACCAATGTTCCAACTTTATGCGAAACATTTTTCGCTATACTAATTTTGGTATTCATAGACAGTCTAGAACTGAAACTCGAACTCCATAAAGTCAACATTTGAGTTTATAATATTATTTATACAGATTTTGACATTGTGAAGTACAAGATCAAAGTTGAGATTGTGTTTAAATACCGGCTTAAAGAGTAGACAAAAGTAAGAGTGACAAAAGAGCACACAGTCCACCTGATTTAAGCATCCTGTGGCTCACACACACTAACATACATCATCGCAAAAATGTTTAATTTATTAATAATTTAATTACTTAGTTATCATCACCATTACAGCCTATTTAAGTCCACTACTGAACATGGGCCTACTCCGTACATTGTCTCAAAGGGGGAGATATTTGTATATATATATATAATAACACACACACAAATATGTATGTGTGTGTGTGTGTGTGTGTGTGTGTAAAATAATAGTTTTTTGTTTGCTATCAGAAACATTTTGCTACCATCTCCTGTTTCAGTTTCCCTCTGTACCTTTACGACAATCATGGGGTGATATTGTGTAGTGGATTTTCTTAAGTCAAAACAAGTCCACAGTATCATTTTAGTTATATATTTTGAAATTATTTGTCAATTAAAAATTTGTTATTAAATAAAAGTTTCGCATCCTCAGTTTATTTGGCGCGGCCTTTGAACAAGCGGCAACCAAAAGTGGAGTGTCTGTGTCACTGGACTATGTGGACAGTTCCGTTATCACTCTGCCGACCTCACAACGGGCACAGTTCCTCGACGCACTCACAGCACTACTCGCGTGACATTCGTTTACTAGCGTTTCTGTTACCTTCAGTTTACTTATCAAGTTTCTGTTATGGATATGTGGTTGTGAAAGATACGTAATTCAATTTTAAAGATGGGCACATCTACTGCATGGTAAAAAATAAAATGATTTATGTAATACTAATATCATTCTTGTACCCATGACTTCACGATTAAGAATTGTTTTATTTTTTATTGTGATATGCATAAATGCTTAAACTAAACAGTGGCTTTTGCCTCCGCAATAAAAAAAAGTTAAATTTTTTTCTATTTCAATTAATTGTTATTGATTAATGTCACAGTAATTTCTCTATTTCGCATGAGATAAATGTTTTTGAAATTTTATTGTCAAATGATATTTTAATTATGCAATCAAGGATCACATCCATAGACAATGTAAGTTATAAAATTAATATTAATTGAACTGACTGTAATTATAATTTTTAGTGTATGATTTATAATGTTATTTATTTGTAATTAAAATAGGAAAGAAATGACAAAAAATCTTTGGTTTTATTTACTCATATTATGAACAATAAAAAGCTAAAACTTTAATTTCGGGGTTGACAAAATCTAAACATATTATAAAATTAAAGTGATTATTTAATTTTATTTATATGTTTCATTGACTAAGTGGGTTCTTTGATATCCAAATAACTAGCTCCTAGTATTATTTGCATGCTATTGACAGATATAATTAATGACCATTGATATAGTGTGACTACATACAGAAACACATAGTCCGTCCGGTTACTTTCCTCTATGCCATCCGGGCTCATCTACGGTATGGCTAAACTGATTGTGTGAAACTACGAATAAATAAAGGGTAGCGCAAGGATTGATCTAGCCTATATTTTATCGAAAAAACGTAGGATTCGAAAAAGTGATGATAATATAAATGATTTTCAAGATTATCTCGTAGATATAGAAAAAAGTAAAGAAATTTGTTATTTCTTTGTTAGCAATTTCACACCTAAATTCCACCTTTACACATCTTTGAAGTTAATAGATGTTAAACTTTCTAACTTAAGACTAAACATGTCTTTTTATTTTATTCTGATCTGAAATTGCATTTCACCTCACATAACCTGTCTTCCTTGTTTCATCAACTTTTGATTAGGCTTAAAAAGGTTTTTAATTTATTTTTATAACATAGGTATTTAAGTAGTGTTTTTATATATTTTTCATGGGTTAGATTTACTTACGTCCCTTGCGTGTTACTGGGACGGGATAATGTTTCAGCCCTATACATGAAATTCCGCGGACATCAATTACGTAACACAAGAACAAATCATCGCTACTATTCGTATTTGTTAAGTAAAAAATAATGTGTTGTTAACGTTACGGGTTATTAAAGCCCACTGCTGAACATAGGCCTCCCCCAAAGATTGCCTCATAGGGAGGATATGTGCCATAAGTGCCACGCTTGGCAAGTGGGTTAGCAACAACAGCTTTTTTTTATTATTAGTCTTTATTAATATTAAAAAATAGAACTGCGGTTGTTATCTATACAAATAAATAAAATTGAATTGTCTCTTTGTAATGTCAAAATAACAGCTTTTTACTAAATGCAATATGAAAGTATATACAGTACTTATAACAAAAACACATTTTTTTCAATTTTTGTCTGTCTGTCTGTCTGTTCCGGCTAATCTCCGAAACGACTGGGGACCGATTTTGACGGGACTTTCACTGGCAAATAGCTAATATTATAGTAGTAATTAGTAGTAATTTAGGCTATTTTTATTTTAGAAAATGATTTGGGTTCCGCGCAAAAATATTAAAACCAAATTACACGCGACTTCACTCGCGTGGTACAGCTAGTTAATAATAAAAAACTGTCGCCTCTCACGACTCGCACGGAATGATAATGTGATAGTGGATATTCTTACGCCGTTGCTTTTGCTTCGTAAGCTGTTGTTAACGCTACTAATATTCCCGATAACCACTCGCTTAAAATGCTTGTGCTAAGGGAATTTTCATGACAGTTACTAGTCGAATGGCGGATTCGAACCCACGACTTTTTGAATTTCCCAGTATATATTATCCTTAACCATTAGACTATAGTCGCGTTCGTCGGATTTCTAAGGCTATGTGCAAAATTTTACCGTAAGCAATGTGCCGAAGATATTTCATAGCAAAACACCTAACCAGTGAAATAACTGTTTAGAAAAACAGTAATTGGTAATAAAGTACAAAGATAAACATATTTTATTATTGATACATACATGTGCATTAAAATATATTTTTTTCATATCGTGCAAGTAACATGGATAAAAATATTAATAGATTAATTTAAAAATTAAATTCCCACTATTGGGAACGGGTCTTTCATTACTTGAGATTTTAGATAAGGAAGAGTCCCGATGCGTAGAATTTGTCATGGGTGAATGTGATTCAAATTATTAATTTAAAACTTGCCGCTGATAAACTTCGTTATCATGTCTAACGCCCATTTAGGCTGATCATGTGGGACCATATGCCCTGCGTTACGGATCAATACATCTGTTAGATTACCAGCCTTCTTGACATACCCAGCTATATCACCATCTACTACCCATATATTACGAGGAGCGTGTTTATACTCTTCCGCGGCCGAGAAGTTCAGCTTCTTTAAGAAATTTTCTGTTAACGGGTATGCTACGATTATGTCAAGTTGCCCATTGTAAAACATCATTTTGTAATGTGAAAGAAGCTCTTCTATTGTCGGCGCGACTGATTTTAATAAATCGTACACTAAATGTAGTTGCACTTCTTCTCCAGAATGAAACGGCAAACCCCCCACGTGAATGCTGCGTCTTACTTTGTCGTTATGAATTAGATTAATGAAAACGGTCATGTTTTCATCGTCTTCCGCCTTCATGAAATTATAATAGTAATCGAATCCGGTAAAAGATTTAAAGTATGAAACATTCGTAAGTTCTCCATCCATCAATTTATCCATTAATATATCAGCTTGCACCCAATTTCCTTTATTTATGGCCGCTGCAATGCTAGATTGAAAATCTATGAAAACATTTCGTTGATTTTCATCCAATAAACCATGCTGATATAAATAATTTCCGTAATCTATTTGGTTAACTGGATCACAGTATGCATTTCCTAGTGCTAAACCTTGTAAGTTTATTTTCTTTTCCTTGGCTTCATTATTTTTATTATGTATGTACAATGCTAACGATGGTATATATTTGCCTGCATAGGATTCACCAGTGATATAAAAATCATTATTCCTCAGACTGGGAAATAAAGTAAGGAACTGTTGTAAAGCTTCATAAAGGTTTTTCGCTATACAATTCTCATCAGTACAGTAACCTTGATCTTTTTCGGTAAAACTGAATCCAGTGCCAACAGGGTTATCAATAAAAATAACATGATTATTAAGTGCCCAATTATGTTTTCTTAACCCGAATCCACCTTCTTTGGCTACAAGCGGACCAACTTCAGTAAATAAGCCAAAAAGTGAACTTCCACCTGGACCACCTTGCAACCAAAGGATTAAAGGACTTTTTCTATTTTTCGAAAAGGGCGGGAAGTACCAAAAATACAAATTTGAATTATAAATGTCATTAACGGTAAGAAATCCGGCGTGACTTTCAAATCCTATCTTTTCAGTGAGTAATACTCGTGACATATTTTGCGCCAGTGAAATATTTCCATTTTTTATGTAGGTTGAGAGAAATAAAGGATCACCAGCAGCTTTAGGCTCTTTGGCTTCTAATTTCAATCGTGGATAGACAAATGGAAAAATTGTGCATGTGCCCAAAGGTAAAAAGTAAACAAATAATATAAAATTAAGAGCAGTTACCATGTTTTAACACTACAAGAAGAATGTTGTCAATTTATATTAGAGTAAAAATTGGAGAATCATTGGTTGTCAGTACTGTTGGAATGTCATTGACATTTCAGAATAACGTAATAACTAATAAGTTACATATTTTTGTGCAGAAGCTTATAAAAAATTCTCATGATATTTTTGCTTAAATAAAATCTGCGTAACATTTATGGATCAAATTTCATAAGAATGCAACGAAGGAAAAAGGAAAGGAGAAGGACTTTTTTATTTTTCCTCTAATATCAAAGAAAGAGTATAAAATCGCTACGTTATAATCACAGAATACTTTTACTCCTAGCGGAGAGTTATAATCCAATATTATTCTGTGGTTATTCTACTCTATGGTAGGACCCTATCCCATAGACCACAATTATAATAAATGCTAGCGCACCATAGACATAGACAATGGACTGAACGTTAGCCTCATAAAGCTAATACAATTGTATTTGCTTCATGGTTAGCCTACGCCCCTAACCCCAGCCTACAGAGAGATGCCCATTTTCACATGACTATGTATAGAAATGAAATAAATCTTAAAACTCAGCTAATTGAATTGTAAATTAAATACGATTATCACAATATTAAAAGAAACGCAGGAGAAAAATATTTTTTAATATTTATTTAAGCTTATTCTACGTCAAGGGTAAACGTATTACCACCATATTTTGAACGCATCTCAAGTACCCTTTTTCTAGGACGTTCCATTTTACACACTGCTTAATTACAGTCTCTTAATCAAAAATCTCTGACTTAATCGAACTCTGTTTCTGAATTTTTAACAATTTTAAACACAAGATTTTTCTCAGTATAATCTCAGAGGAAATGGTGATAGAACATTAATAAGTGATAGAAAAATTAAGTATTTGGTAACGGCAAATCCTAACCTAAAGAGTAACATTAATATTTTTGGACTTCGTAGCGTTTAAATCGTAAAAATGACTACATGACATTCTTTTCTAAACTTACAGGAAGTTTTTCTACTATACCTTATAACTATACATAAACCTTTACTATCAGGTTTTTAAATGTATGAAATAATAATAATAATAATATTCCACAACTATCACACAACGCCATCTAGTCCCAAGCTAAGCAGAGCTTGTGTTATGGGTACTAGACAACTGATAAACATACTTATATATTTCTAAATACATAAATATTATAGATAAATTACACCCAGACACAGAACAAATGATCGTGCTCATCACACAAACATTTGTCCTGGGTGGGAATCGAACCCACGACCTCCGGCATAGCAGTCGGGGTCACTAACCACTAGACCAACAGGCCTGTCTATGTGGGGGGTTCGCCGACAGGTTCACAGGCGCTCCGTCTGGGTACAAAACGGTTCGCGCTGCGCCTGCTACTCACTTGCCTGCCGCAGGGGCAATCTAGGGTGTGGAAGAAAGGAGTGTGGAAACCCCTTAATTATGAATCGTGTATGCAAGCAGGGGCAATATTCTAAGTTGGCCCTGCGGCAGGATGGTAGGAGCGCAAGACTTTCTTTGCACCCTAGATCATAGGTGCCGCTGCCGCGTGTGTAGCGCAATTGGAGCAATTTTATTCTATCTTGTGGGGTATCGTTGGATAGGTCTTTCAAAAACATTGGGGGTATGGAACAACATCTTTTGGATTCAGAGGTACGTTTGCGAAATATTCACATATACATCGATATGATTTAGTCTACGAGAAAATTGGATAGAATACAGTGTGGTGAGCGACAATAATCTAATGGCAGGGTGCGGACCGCGAACTCAAAAGGTTGTGTGTTATAATCCGCCATTCGACAACTGTCATGCTCCTAACATAAGCATTTTTTTTACGTTACAGTAGTTAAAGAGAATATAAGTAATGTCAATAACATTGCTAGTATTTTTAAAAAGAATCTGTGTTTCTTATTATCGCGATCCCGTCTTTGTGCGGTGCTTTAAAGATATTGAACATACATTTTAGTTGGCGCTACGACAAACCAACTTTACTCGAAAGAAAATAATCTATTGATTTATTACAGTAAAATTTAGACTCTGCATGTCTAAAAATAAAGATTGTAACATCTGTTTGCTATTATCATATATTTTATACCGCACTTGTCGTTGAAAATTGTCATATTAAAATAATATTCATACATTAGTTACCATAAGCTACTCGTGTCAATTAACGAAATTGAAAACTTGCGAGTCTGTTTAATATTTAATATAATATATTATGTAAAATAAAATTTAAAATAATTTTATACGGGGTAGAGCCATGCTGCAGCTATATTAGTAGTATAGTTGTAGCACGAATGGGTCGGCTCGACCGGGGAAGGACCACACTTTTACAGAATACCAGCGTAAAATGCAGCTTAAAACTGCTGTATTTTTTGTGTAGAGAATCGGAAACCCTTTTTACTTGAAAAGAGGCATTCCATCTTAGTCCTCACGGGTGACAACGCATCTGCATTTTGATTCGCAAACGAGGATAGATGTAGATGTCTATGGGCCACAGCAACCACTTACCATCAGATGGGATGTGTGCTCGTTTGTCACCCTATCCTATAAAAGAAAAGAAAAAAAACAATATTGTAATAAATAAATCTTACAATTATCTTACTCCTGATATTCTGTATTCGTCGCATTGTCTCGAAGTTTAGCTTTCTGAAGGTTTCACTTCCACCACGTGTAACCTGTACATATGTTTTTTTTTTATAAACTATATAGGTGCAGTTTATATTAATATTTGGAGACGGTTATTTTTAAAATACGTCTATCAGATTTTTTTTACATATATCCAAATTCAATAAAATTCGTTGGCCAAGAGGGAGGGGGGGGGGGGGGGGGGGTAATTAAATGTAATGTCTTGATGTTGGCAAAGTAGCTTAGCGGCCTTTCACTAGGTGCACTTAATTCAATTCCGTACAAATACTCGATCCAAATACCTGTTCCACCTAGTCCATGAAGTGCGCATAAAGTTTAGTATTGTTGGAATAGCTTACACTTAAAAGTATGCTTAGTCTTTACGTACAGCCAATCCCGATACGTGAAGGCAATGAATAGTAATGAATCATCCATTTATACTTTACAAAGACTTAGGACTGTCAACGTTAAGATTTATCTACATCTTTCTAGATTGTTGGCGTATAAAGTTTCAATTTATTTTATTTCAGAGTAATCTGATTTTAGTCTTTCTTTTTCGTTTACTTTTTTATATTTATTTCGTTTTTTTTTAGTTACTTGTCTACAATCATTGTTTTTATATATATTTAGACGGCTCCGTGGCGCAGTGGCTTAGCAATGAGTTGTTGCGCTGTGGGCCGGTTTGAATCCCGCACGGAACAAGTATTTGTATAGCCTACAAATAATTGTTACGGGTCTAGATGTTTGTCCTCGTGCAATTAATGTTTGTAAACTGCCTCCACGATACAAGAGAAAATCCTAGTGTGGTGGTAACGATTTAAAAAAAAATATATATATACACGCAAAAATCAGTCTTAAGATTTTTAAAAACTAAATTGTATTTTACAAATGTTAAACTCAGCCGTTTGTTGGCTTTTGTCCGTAAAATGAACCCAAGCGACACTGCTTCCTTTGGTAGCCATTTTTTTAAAACAATAAACACTTTAATGTCTAATGTCTAAATAAAAAATAAATTGAAAGTTCTTTAACCACATAACAAAACTTCGTTACGAAAACCTATAGCTAAATAAGTCTGATAGGTATCAATACGGTGCCGAGATCATATGGTCTCCAATTTCCATTCGCATCGAGTATTTACAAGTAACTAGTGTATAAAATCTGTCTAGTATTTGGTTGAAGTCCCCGGGACTAGTCCGTAGTCCCTTCTAGTCTCGAGTATTGACAGACAAAGATAAAAAGACTGCGGATTAGCGTAGTAAAAAAAGGACAGAATATATTCTTACACAACACGAGTGCGCGCCGCGTTGCTTTTATAAACATTGAAATACAGTTCAAATTCAAATTATTGACACATAAATGATTTAGGCAAACACGAGTGAGCGGCAAAGCAGACTATTAACTACGGCAACAAAATGCTATCTCGCTTCGCCGTGCCGGTATTTGTTCGATTCGAGCGGGCCACCGCACCAGTGCCGTGAGACGCGTAGGCACAGTGAGACTAGGTGGATCAAGTCTTTTAAAAGTTGGAACAGGTGCAACCTAGTCTCGTTTAATACCTAGTGCCTGGATCTGCTCTAGTATATATGCTTCATCTCTACCTTTCATACATTTACTTTTACTATGGAAGTCCCACCTATTACTGCCTCCAATGCGTGTTGGCAGACTTCACACGTCTTAGAAATATTTTTGTGTTATTTCTCAGATATGAACAGGTTTCATCTCGATGTTTACTTTCACTGCCGAGCACGTGGTAAATCAGCACTTAAAATTGCAATTAACAATAATTTCATTGGTGCCGGCAGAGATCGAAGCCGGGTCGCCCACGTAGGTACTGTGAAATTTATAGAGAGCACTAAGCCCCTGAGATACTACATTCGCTAGTACATTATAATATTTAACACTGCATGTAATAATTATTTCGACTAGAATTGAGAACTTCCCCGTTTTTTTGATGTTAATCGTTTAAATATGTGTACTTACTTCAAGGGTGGTCTTGTCAAAATTTCGAGAAAAAAATCCGGTCCTAATGCCTCCTCTATACTACTCGCGAAGTAGATCGAAGTTGGACAAGGCGAATAGTGTAGTGACTAGAGGTACTTCGATTCGCTTCGTGCAACCTCGCTTCGCCTCGGGCGATTTCCGATCGCTGTAGTCTGTTTTTTGCGCCAGAGTCAAAGGACTTTGCAAAGTACCCCGAAGTTACACGAAGCGTCTCACTACACTATTGGGCGTACGCTAGTTATGAATATTTTTTTATATATAAGTACTAGCTGTTCCCCGCGACTTCGCCCGCGTGTAATTTATGGTTTTAATTTTTGCGAGGAACCCTAATTATTAAAAAAAAATGTAGCCAAAGTTACTCCTTATAAGATCAGCTATTTAAAAGTGAAAGTCCGGTCAAAATCGGTCCAGCCGTTTCGGAGATTAGCCGGAACAAACAGAAATTTAAAAAGTGTATTTATGTTATAAGTACCGTTTATACTTTCATATGCATTTAGTAAAACGCTGTAATTTTGACATTACAAACAGACACTTCAATTTTATTTATTTGTATAGATTAAATATGTAGCTTTCTACATAATTATTTATTTAGTTTACCCATTGACGTCGTACTGTTCACACAATTAGGTACCTATAGCAGCTGCCTCTTGAATGTTATTCATGCGGGAGACTCAAGACGACTGAGCTCTTCGCGAAGTAGCACGAGTGTGTAGTCACTGGTAGTCACATTCTTCGAACTGCTATCGACTTCGACGAGCACTTCGTCAAACTTACTTCACTAGTAGTGTATAGGATGCATAAGGGTAGGAAAATAGGGGAAGTTTAAAATGTAATGCCGCCTCCACACGCTTGGTGTTTGCCACAAACACCATACACGAACAAACACCGACCACAATCACCCAACACAAACACGGCATCTATACGCTCGGCGAACGTGCTAGTATACGACGAGCTTGTGCCAGCGATTACTTTCGGGTTGACCTATTTTTATTTAAATAAAGGCAAAATGAAATTAAACGAAAAAGAAGGAAACGAATTATGTAACGCATGACTCTAAACTAATCTAAAAACAAAGTTTTATGAAATTAATGCTTGACTGGGGAATCGAACCCCGAACTTTCGTTCGACATTATATTGAAGCTATTTACTTTTAACATAGATTATCTCTTTATTCGAAATGCCTTATACAATTTTATAGCAATATTTTCAAAACGCACAATTGTTTATTTTTTATGGAATGAAAATGATATACTTCTTTTAAGCACGTTGCCAACACTAATAGTAGTAACGCATATGAGTCATTTTCTTCATAAAATGTTTATTTTTAAAAGCTTACAATAACATTAAAAAGTTATTAATACAGCTAGTCTTAGGTCTTTTTCTATGAAAATGTAACGAAATTTTTAATAATCCAAGTGTATTTTATAAGTTAACGGACCCCCGAATTGAAAAGATGTTGTTCAACACTCCCAATGTTTTTCAAAGACCTATCCAACGATAATCCATATGATGGAATAGACACGTAAAAAAAATTTATGTATGTAATTTACTAGTATGGGACGTACCCAAAATAAAAATGTTTTTTAAAAATTTATTTCAATTTTCTGGCGTGATTAATTCGTTTTTCAATTTTCAGTTTTTTTCGGATTTTATTTTGGGAATGGATGATCAATGATCCTGCTTTTACTTAGGGCTCCTTATAAAAAGAGGTGAAATATTTGTTACCCAATAGAATAGAATAGAATAGAATAGAATGATTTTTATTCAATATGGATTATTACATAATACTTATTGAAAGTCATTATTTTATTTACCATAATTTCACTTAATAATAATTTTGTTTATACAATTTTAAATGAATTTTCAGATAACCAGCATGGTGGCGATCACCTTATTCCCAGGGGTTATTTTCATTCATGTATTCCTTGATATTATAATAACCCTTTTTGTACAGTTTTTCTTTAGTAAAACTTTTAAACTTGAATAAAAACATTAACTAGGAGTATCAAATTATTATTGGGAGGTCTCTAGAAAACTTTAAAAAAAAATAGGTGGTAGATCTGCTAACTTTTCGAAGTAAAATTCCTAGGAAACTCAACTTCTGAAATAAACATACCTCCGAGACAAATTTCGTATTGGTAACATTGGCGTAGAAAATAATAATAATAGCCACTAGTAACTCTTTCCGCCGCCCGCAAGTTTCGTGAACTATTAAGTATTAAGTAATCTGTGCCGCAAGTCGCAAGCTCGCGCGTACTACTGACGGATTGCCAAACGTGTGGAGATACATCGCAAACACGTTTGTCGAACACCCTTTGATTGGTGCACAAAAACCGACACGAATGCCGATCACTGGCAAGTGGCAATCACAAACAAACAAACAGGCAAACAACCATCCACACGTTCGTGTTTGCTGTATGCCGTTGTTTGCCAAGCGTGTGTATGCGGCATAACTATGTATTTAGCCTACTTATAGCTGGTAGGTATGTACTTAAGTATTGAGCTCGAGATAAGTACTTGACTTATTCCTTAAACCATTGAAAAATGAAAAAAATAAAATTTTAATATAAAGTAAAAGCCGACTTCAAAAAACTAAAAAGAATTGAACAATTCTTCTGAAGTCTAATACAAGAATTATAACACGACGCGCCACGCCACGCTTCTATGATCACAGAACACTAATACCCTTAGCTATATATTAATTATTAAAGCCGCGTCTCCACCAAAGTTTTGTTGCAAACAAATGTTTCTGTCAACAAGCGTCTCCACCGAGGGAACAAATGTTGGCAACAAGCGTATTCATTTGATGTTGCCGCCGAAAATGGAAACCAGTTTTGTTGGCAACTATTGTGTTGGCAACAAAACTTTGGTGGAGACGCGGCTTAATATATATATCCACCCGATATTGTGGCCGCAGCCTTTTAAAATAATAACAATAACAAATTGTTAATTGTCAAGCTTTTTCAACATGACCATTTGCGATAAAAAGGTTAAGGTGATGCGATTACTGTACTCGCTATCCGTCCATATTCCATAATGATGCTCATTCCACATTTCAGTCCAGTCACAGTCATTCGCTCATCGCGAGAAGCCTTATATAGGCGATATTTACCATGTCTCAATATTCAATATTATTTTTAATACAGTTGTTAGTTTCGGTACACTGCTTTATTCACCGGTATCCGAAGTTAAATCTTGACGATCAAGATGATGGGGATTCCGGATCACCCTTATTTCTCACACCTTATATTGAAAGTGGTAATATTACAATTGGCAGACAGCTAGCGCGAGTGCCCTTTACGGAGAGTTTACGAATAAAAAGTTATGCCGGCTTCTTTACTGTGAATAAGAAATATGAATCAAATCAATTCTTTTGGTACTTCCCTGCAATGGTACCTAATAAAAAAGATGCTCCAGTAATAGTATGGCTACAAGGTGGACCTGGCGCTACCTCATTATATGGTCTTTTTACTGAGAACGGGCCACTGAGAGTAAGAAACGGAAAATTTGAACGTCGGAAGTATAATTGGGCACTTAGCCACCACATCATTTATATTGATAACCCAGTTGGTACTGGGTTTAGTTTTACAAAAGACCCTAAAGGCTATTGTACCAATGAGACACAGGTTGGTGAACAACTTTATGCTACTATCATTCAGTTCTTCCAGTTGTTCCCAGAATTGCAGCCAAATAAATTTTTCATCACTGGAGAATCCTATGCTGGCAAATATGTTCCAGCCTTTGCTTATACAATTTATAAAAAAAATCCTGAGGCAAAGATTAAAATAAATTTAAAAGCTATTGCAATTGGCAACGGTCTTAGTGATCCTGAACACCAGCTTGTTTACAGTAAATATTTGTATCAAATTGGTCTTTTAGATTGGAATCAGGCCAAAATTTTTGCGGACTATGAGAGCAAAGCTGTTGACTTCATAAAACAAAAGCAATGGGATCAAGCATTTGAGACTTTTGACACACTTTTGAATGGGGATTTAATTGATGGTCAAAGTGTATTCTTTAATATGACAGGATTTAAATTCTACTTCAACTTTTTGCACACAAAAGATTATATGGGCTTTGAAGATTTTGGACCAATGATACAGAAGAGTATTGTGAGGAGAGCTATACATGTTGGTAATTTGACATTCCATGATGGTCATGATGTTGAAAAACACTTAAAGCAAGATATAATGCAATCAGTAGCTCCATTGATATCTGAACTTCTTGACCATTATTATGTTGTTGTATATAATGGACAGCTAGATATAATTGTCGCTTATCCTTTAACTCTCAACTATCTAAAGAACCTCAATTTTACTGGATCTGACGATTATAAAACTGCCAAGAGGTATCAGTGGATTGTTGATGGGGAGTTGGCAGGATATGTTAAACAGGCTGGTAAATTGGTAGAGATCATGGTAAGGAATGCTGGACACATGGTCCCCGGAGATCAGCCTAAGTGGGCTTTAGATATGATCACTCGTTTGACTCATGAAAAAACCTTTTATTGATTTTGTGAAACAATTTTGTTTATTTAGATGTTAACTAAATGATACAAGGTAATTTTTTAAATGTAAAACATAATTTTGAAATGTATACAGCTGCTCAGTTCTCAATGCAGACTTACCACTTAAACATTTGAATAAATAAAAGAATGACAATATGTTTTGTTGTTTTATCATACCAAAAAACTGTGTAATCATGGTGAAAGCATATCTGCACCCTCAAGTTCTTTGGGTGTTGTGGATAGAGGGAAACTTAACAGCGGGATAGGCAGCAGTGTCTATTAAGTAGAAAATAAACTACAGTTACCAACCCACTAGCCAGGCATGTCAAATATCTCCCTTGTGAGGCAATGTAATGATGGAATCCCTTTTGCAGATGTACCTTTCGATAATGTATAGTGGCAGTGTAAGAGTATCTACTACCCCATATCATCCTTTTATGACAAGAGGCGACAGAGGGAAGCAAACCAGACAGGCAGCAGCATCTTTCTAATCATAGCTGAATAACATAAGTGCTTGTCGACGCACTTCCAAGCATGTCAAATATCCTCCGTATGAGGCCATGTTCAGCTGTAATTTTAAAAATACAACTTCTGCTGTATGTGTGCTATGCTGCTATTTCGGAATTTATACTATTGAACACTAAATTGTATATGTCTAAAAGGGTGATATTAAAAATCAGGTCCTGAAGGGATTAATATGCAAACATTAATATAATAACCTCACCCTGGGATGAACAGAAAATTCTTTTAGTATTAATGGTAAATTCAAATAAAAAGGAGTTTTATAGTACGAAATGTTACGTTAATAAACTTTATTGTTAAATTTTAGCCTAAATTTACTCATTATCGGACATTCAGACCTGTCAATGTACAAACCACTTACACTATATGTAATAGTTAATCTTATATAGAGTTAAAAACTATAACAGTATGAAGGACAGCTTTAATAAAGCTTTCAGGCTTAACTAACATAGTTAATTGATACAAAAGGAATGAAAACACAAATGCTTAAATCTATCGTCCTTCAATATATGTAGACAACTCTATTTCTTCAGGTAGCTCTGTTATATTCACATCAAATCTGTCTTGAACTTCATTAAGGATTTTAGCATCATTTTCATCAGAAACCATGGTAATAGCCAGGCCCTTTGTTCCAAATCTTCCAGCACGAGCCACACGATGTAGGTATGTATCTGAATCTTCAGGCATATCATAGTTGAAGACAATGTTGACCCTCTCAATATCCATTCCACGACCAAATAAGTTGGTAGCTACTAGAATCCTCTTTTGGAAATCCTTGAACTGCTGGTAGCGGGAGAGTCGTTCATCCTGTGTCATATTGCGGTGAATACCAATGGCTGGGAAATTTTGGTCTGTGAGCAATTGTGCCAGAGCTATGCAGCGCTGTACTGATTTTACAAATATAACAACTTGATTAAATTCCAGTACATCAAGGAGTTCAAATAGTTTCTTATTCTTCTCATTCTCTTTAAGTTTAACATAATGTTGCTGGAGACCATGCAATGTTAATTTGGCTTCATCATCTACATAAACTTCCATGGGATCTTGCATAAATTTCTTACAAACTGGCCGTATTTCCTTACTCAACGTAGCTGAGAACATCATCACCTGCTTTCCATGGGGAGTGTTTCTGAAAATCTCCTGTACATCTCGTCTCATGTCTAATGACTCTAACATCTTATCACATTCATCAAGAATAAAATGCTTCAGGTGTTTCAAGTTCAGTTTCTTGCTGTTAACTAAAGCAAGAATTCTGCCTGGAGTACCGACAACAATATGAGGGCATGCAGTCTTTAATACCTCTTCGTCTTTTTGTATAGGCATTCCGCCAAAGAACACGGACACTCGAACTCCTGACATGTACTTAGAAAAACGCTCATATTCTTTACTGATTTGAAACGCTAACTCTCTTGTATGGCACATGACCAAAACGTAAACATGATTTTCCGATGGTTCTAGTTGTTGAAGCGTTGCAAGGACAAATACAGCGGTTTTTCCCATACCGGATTTGGCTTGGCACAAGATGTCCATTCCCAGTACCGCTTGAGGAATACATTCATGTTGGACCTCTGAAGGGTGTTCGAAACCGCAATCAACTATGGCTCTTAATATTTCGGGCTTTAAAAGAAAATCTCTAAAACCAGAGCTGTGAATAGATACATAAGATCCCTTAACCTCTTTTTTTGGCGCCGCTTCTGTAGCTCCATCTGCGGTTTGCTGATCCGCCTGCTCTTCGTCTTCGTAGTCAAGAAGATCATCGTTGTCTGCCATTATTTATTAAAATAGAGAGATTTAAAATATTCAATAATTAATATAAATTGTTTTAGCACGTGAAAATTTCTCAGAAAGATTTTTTTCACAATAATGGCGTCTATTAGGCAAAGCAAAAGAGACCATAGACATAAAACAATAATACCAATTTACCAAGACCAATGAGATTTTGTTGTTGTTGTTACAATTTGCCAATTAGGGCAGGCAAAGGTCATAAATCATACAGCTTAATTTTGTCTATTTTAATCACAAAGCTCTTCACCATGGAAATATATGTACTTCGTACAAACTGGAACCCGCACTCTCGAATGACATAAAAATACAAGAAAACGACCTTGAAATTTTTCATTACCCCTCAGTCTCTTTCTAATTAGGGTGAACACAAAATACAAGAATTTGCGATATTATGGGGAAAAATCCGTTTATTTTTATTATATTCATTTATAAAATTTTAGAGTTCCATTGAAACGCATCATATTAGAAAAATTCATAAGGACTAAGCTGCGGGTGGAAGTTTATTAATTATTATTATTTATTGGTGTACTTTTTTTGTCAATAAACGAATAAACGAGTGAACGGGCTCCGTATACAAAACTTTAACCATGAACTCAGACCATCATCCTGAGCAAAATCTAAAGTAATTTTTGTCCGAAAATGAAAAAACAATTCGATTTCCCATACAAAATGTATCGGTCACGTGACCAATTTTGTATGGGAAGTAAATTTTTTTTAAATTTCTACAAAGAAATTTTTTCAGTACCTTGCTCAGGATGATGATGGGTGGAGGTCATGATGAGTTCATGGTTAAAATTTTTGGAAGGCTGTCTTTACATCCCTTATAATGTAACATTAGGAAATAATAAAACTAAAATAATTATCGTTTTTATTTACATTTATTATTACAATAGCAATGGCGTCTACAAATTTAAAATATTATACAATAATAATAATTAGAGGCGAAGGTTTTTACAACCACACAATTTTTATATATGATTGAATAATTTTGTGAACTTTTGGTCCATAAAATTTTTTAGATGCGTTCTGAGACGCATGGTCAAAAAAGAGTTTGAAATTCACAGCAACTACTTACCATCAGGTGGACTGTGTGCTCGTTTGTCACCCTATCCTATAAAAAAATAATTTTAAAATTCTGGATTAATGAAATTCAGAACAATGAATATTATCGACCATAGAGTGATTTTTTTTATAGAATAAGGATGACAAACGAGTACACAATCCACCTGATGGTAAGTGGTTGCTGCGGCCCATAGACATTTACATTCTATCCTTATTTGCGAATCAAAATGCAGATGCGTTATCACCCATGAGGACTAAGATGGAATGCCTCTTTTCCAGTAAAAAAGGTCTCCGGTTCTCTACACTCACCATACGAAACTCATTTTTAAGAGGCGCCGTCTTAGTGGCAGAAGAAATCGTGGAAAGCCCTCATTGCCTTTTAATGGTACACACTAAGTAAGTTTGAGCCCGCAAGCTCTAACGCGTGTTGCATAAACAACCAAGTATGTGCGTTTCTTCCGGTACGTAGTACATATTACTTAACTGTAATTATTTACACGTTTATATTGCGATCCCTCCAGATGCTAAAGCGGAGCATAAGCACCGCTAAGCATCGGAAATTATGAAAAATTTACTGCTCGTAATAATGTTATACAAAAGACTTAAAACGCGAAACGTTTAGGAATCACGTTTTAGTTTTTACGTGCAAGCGCACGGCTTATCAAGAAGTTTCCGTTAAGTAAACAATACCTTGATGCTTGAATGCTTTCCCTTCTAAATTGGTTCCTCCTATTTTGTAAGCATTGCGTGTTTTGATGACATCAATCAATAAATTGATTTCATGTATTTAACCTATATATTTAAAAACCTGTAGTGGCGGGTAAGAATACTCACTACCCCATATCTTCCCGTGGGTGTCGTAAAAGGCGACAGAGGGAAACTGAGGCAGAGGATGGGCAGCAGCATCTTTCTGATAACAGCAAAACAACAATAAAAAAACTGCGGTTGCCAACCCGCTCGCCAAGCGTGGCAACTATGGCAATATACCCCCCATGAAAGTAACGAAGAGACAGCCCCCAGTCCCCGGCGGCCCCGCTATTCCTGGCTACGGTGGCGACCATGGTAACGGCGGGGCAGGGGGTGCTAAGAATCTCCGGTGGAGGTTCGGTTGCCACTTACGACGACTCGACCTGGCAACTTATAACGCACGCACCCTGAGAACTGACGAGAAGATCCTGGATCTGGAAGAAAAAATAGACAAGTTGCGCTGGAATGTCATAGGATTATCCGAAGTCCGAAGAGAGGGGGAGGACACGGTAATCCTCGAATCCGGCAATTTGTTCTATCACCGGGAGGCCTACCATCTGTCCCATGGAGATGTCGGATTTATAGTCAACAAGTCTCTCGTTAACAACGTTGTAAAGATTGGGAGTGTGTCGACGAGGGTTGCGTACCTTATACTCAGAATCACCAAACGGTATTCACTGAAGGTCATACAGGTTTACGCACCAACCTCGGCACACCAAGATGAGGAGGTGGAGGAAATGTATGAAGATATCTCTAGAGCCATGCATTCCTTCAAAACCCACTATACGGTGTTAATGGGAGACTTCAACGCAAAACTAGGCACATTAGAGAACGATGAGCTGAAAGTAGGGAATTCTGGAATAGGGCAACTGAACCCAAGGGGCCAGCATCTGGCCGACATCATGGAGAAAGAGGGACTCTTTATGATGAACTCTTTCTTCCAGAAGCGGCCTCACAGGAAGTGAACTTGGTCGAGCCCCGACGGTTCGACAAAAAATGAGATTGACTTCATTATGACGACCATACGACAACTGTTCAGTGATGCCTCAGTGATCGCGAGGGTGAAAACCGGCAGCGATCACCGAATGGTGAGAGGATACTGAACCTAAACGTTAAGTTGGAGAGGTCACGTCTAATGAAGTCAACGCTCCGTCCCCCTCGTGCTCTAATCCAAAGTCCCGAAACCTTTCATCTCGAGCTACAAAACCGTTTTCAGTGCCTAGAAGATTGCAATGCAGTGGACGATATGAATGACAAGCTCGTGGAAACTGTCCATGCGGTCGGAGCTAAGTTTTGCAAGGCCCGCCGCAGAAGAACACAAAAACTCTCCGATCACACTCTTAATCTCATGGCAGTTAGACGGGATATGAAGCTGCAATCTTCAGTAGATTTGACAGCATACAGGCAACTGAACAGGCAGATCTCCAAATGCTTGCGGCGGGACTTACGCAACTTTAATACTGCTCGTATTAAAGAAGCGATCGAGCGGAACCAGGGCTCCAAAGTCTTTGCTAGAGATCTGTCTGCCAGAAAGAGCCAACTGTCGAAGCGGCAGCGTCGTTTCCGGGACACCTAAGATTTTGAATGAGATTGAGAGGTTCTATGGGCAGCTGTACACATCATCATTGGAGCCACACGTAAGTGTGAGTAACGATCCAAGAGCGAGTCTTATCCGACACTATTCCGATGATATCCCGGGCGTCAGTCTGAGCGAGATTAGAATGGCTTGCCAGCACCTTAAAAACGGCAAGGCCCTAGGCGAGGATGGAATTACAGCAGAGCTTCTGAAAACGGGTGGAAAACCGGTACTTGAAGTCCTTGAGAAGTTCTTTAATTCCGTCCTCCATGGTGGCACTACACCGGAGGCGTGGAGCAGAAGTGCGGTGGTTTTGTTCTTCAAGAAAGTTAACAACGCTCTCTTGAAGAACTACAGACCGATTTCCCTTCTGAGCCACATCTACGTGCTGTTTTCGAGAGTCATTACGAATCGTCTCGCGCGCAGACTTGACGACTTCCAGCCTTCCGAACAAGCTGGTTTTCGAAAAGGCTTTAGCACCATAGACCACATACATACCCTTCAGCAAATTGTACAGAAGTCCGAGGAGTACAATTTGCCACTATGTCTGGCGTATGTGGACTATGAGAAAGCCTTTGATTCCGTCGAAATTTGGGCGGTGCTGCAGTCCCTTCAGCGATGCCAAGTTGACTGTCGGTATATCGAGGTGCTGAAGTGATTGTACAGTAGGGCTACGATGGCTATCTGAGTACAGAACCAGAGTACGAAACCTATCCATTTGCAGAGAGGTGTAAGACAGGGTGACGTTATATCCCCGAAACTCTTCCCGCTGCATTGGAAGACGTTTTCAAGCTTCTGGACTGGAAAGGATACGGTATTAACATCAATGGCGAGTACATCACTCACCTTCGATTTGCCGACGAAATAGTCCTTATGGCAGAATCGCTGGAGGACCTAAGCACTATGCTCAATGACCTCAATAGTGTTTCCCAACGGATAGGTCTTAAGATGAACATGGACAAAACAAAGATCATGTTTAATGTCCATGTCACACCTATGCCGGTAGTTGTTGGGAGCACTAAGTTCGAAGTTGTTGACGAGTATGTTTACCTGGGACAAATAGTCCGACTAGGTAAGTACAACCTCGACCGAGAGGTCAATCGGCGGATTCAACTCGGTTGGGCAGCGTTCGGCAAATTACGGCACATCTTCTCGTCAGGTATACCTCAAAACTTGAAAACAAGACTGTACAACCAGTGCGTGTTGCCAGTGATGACCTATGGTACTGAGACGTGGTCCTTCACTGCTGGCCGGATGAGGAAGCTCAAGGTCGCTCAGCGAGCTACGGAGAGGGCTATGCTCGGAGTTTCTCTGCGTGATAAACTTAGAAATGAGGATATCCGCAGTAGAACCAGAGTGACCGACATAGCCAAACGGATTAGTAAGCTGAAGTGGCAGTGGGCCGGCCATATAGCTCGAAGAATCGACAACCGTTGGGGAAAAAAGGTTCTTGAGTGGCGGCCTCGTACCGGCGGACGAAGTGTAGGGCGTCCCGCCACGAGATGGAGTGACGACCTGGTAAGATATGCAGGAAGTCGATGGATGCAGGTGGCTCAGGACCGTGCTTTGTGGCATTCCTTGGGGGAGGCCCATGTTCAGC